TCCAGCAGCATCTAGGGAGATCAGAGCAGAGGGGCTCCCTGTTTGAGGGGTACCCCTTGGGCTGCAGAAGCCAGGCCAGATGACACCTGGCCCCTCTGTCCAGGAGCCAAGGAGAGAAACTCCGGAGCTCAAACAGAGCAAACCTCGGGGGCTGGGTTATGGCGGTGTTGGCCCTAGGATGCTTTGCTGGGCAGGGAGACCATGCACAGGGGTGACGACGGGGTTGGGGTACATGAGGTATGCCACCTCACCTGGTCAGGTTCACCCTCATTGTCAGAAAAAATGCTAGTCCACCCAGGCTGCATTCCCGCCAGCTTCATGGGCTGACAGGACGGTGGCCAGGCTCCCCAGGAAGGCAGCCTGGGTTCAAGGTCTTGCTCCCCACACTTCTCGACTGTGTAGCCTGGGTGGCCCTGTAACTGCCACCACCTCCATTTCCCCATTGGTCTAATGGGGACAAAAATTCCGCCTCCACGGGGTACTCTGAGATTTAAATGAAATAATATTGTGCAGGGGACAGAGGGAAAGAGCAAGGAGGCAGACTCGTCCCTTCCCCTTCTGCTCCTCCCTCCCTGTCAGGAGGCTCACACCAGTGTGCATGTGTACACCCACACCCATGCACACACTTACACTCCTACTCATCTTCCAAGAATGAGAACACTTCCTGTGTCCCCCTTAAATTCATGTATGAAATCCTAATGCCAGAGTGATGGCATTAGGAGGGGATTAGCTCATGATGGAGGAGTGCTCATGGAAGGGATCAGTGCCTTATAAAAGAGACCCCAGAGGGGCTAGGTTGTGGCTCAGCTGTAGAGCACTTGCCTTGCATGCATGAGACATTGGGATGGATCCTCAGCACCACATAAGAATAAATAAATAAAATGAAGATATTGTGTCCATCCACAACTAAAAAAATATTAAAGAGAGAGAGAGAGAGAGAGAGAGAGAGAGCCCAGACGACTTGTTTGCTCATCCACCATGGGAGGAGAGGTGGCTATGGTAAAGATAGCCACCTATGAAGCCAGAGGCAGGTCCTCACCAGACACTGGATCTGTAGGTGGCTTGATCTAGGACTTCCAGACTCCAGACTGTGAGGAATGAATTTCTGTTGCTTGTAAGCCACTTGGTCTAGGGAGTTCTGTTACAGCAGCTCACATGGACTAAGGGACTAAGGAGCCTCCACCAGCCCTGGCTCAGGAGGGGTGCAGCTGAGGTGCTGCAAAACCTTTGGAGACATAAACCGGGAGTTGGGTTAGGGCATGGTTAAAAGAGTAAGTCTGAGCCAGGCTTGGTGGTGCAGGTCTGTAATTTCAGTTACTGGGGGGGGCTGAGGCAAGAGGATTGCAAGTTTGAGGCCAGCCTCAGTAACATAGCAAGTCCTTGTCTCAAAATAAAAATAAAAAAGGCTGGGGATGTAACTCAATGGTAGAGCATCCCTAGGTTCAATTCTCAGTACCAAAAAAGTCATGATGTGTAAAATCACATCATAGTCATAACTACCATGTAAGACTATAATAAAAACTGAATGACATCAGTCACTCATTCGACAGATTCTTCCTGATGATCTGCTCTGGACCAGGACTACCCAGGGCACTGGGCATGTAGCAGTRAGTAGGGGAGGTCCAAGTTCCTACTCACCTGGAGCATGCCTTCTAGCGGGAGGGACAAATAACAAACAAACACAGATAGTGTCAGTCTGCTCAGGCTGCTATAACAAAATATCTTACATCAGGTAATTGATGAACAACAGAAATTCACTGCTTATCACTGGAAGATGGAAAGCCAATATGAAGGTAGGTACCAGCAAATTTGGTGTCTAGTGCAGGCCCATACCTCATAGGTAGGACATTCCAGTTGTGTCCTCATATGGTAGAAAGAGCAAGGAGGTTCACTTGAACCTCTTTCATGAGGGCACTAATCCCATTTGTGAGGGTAGAGCCCTTGTGACTTACCCCCTAGTGGCCTTTCACCCTAATACTGTTGCATTGAGTATTAGGTTCCAACACTGAATTTGGCGGGGCTCCCACATTCAGACCACAGCAGTCAGAGAACAGGTCACAAGTGAGACAGTTGCTTCTATAAAGAAAGAGGAGGCTGGGGAGGGGCAAGTAAGTGCTGGGGAGTTCAAGCAGGGAGGCCAGGGCCAGCTGCACCAAGAAGCTAATAGGTAAAGACTGGAAGGCAGAGTGGAGCAGGCTGAGGGGCTCTCCTGGGGGCTCAGCGTGCCAGGCCAGGTCTTGCTGCCCACACTTCGAAACTGCGTAGCCTGGGGTTGGCCACAGGTGTGCTCAGAGGGCAGGTGCAGGCAGACTGGACTCTGAATGACAGAGGGATTTGGAGCAGGAGAGGGACATGATCTGATCACAGGCAGCCAGGCAGAAGCAGGGGGGATCAGGCAGGGAAGATGGCGAGACTTGGGTCCAGCACGGATGTGTTCTGAAGAGAGTGCCCCCAGGGTTGGCTGACACATTGGGTGGCGGATGTGATGCACAGAAATTAGTCTACAAGAATGCTGGGGCTTGGGGTCTGAGCCAGGGGTCCTGACCAGGCTCAGCACTGCTCTGCACACTGCAGTGATATGTGGCAGCCACTGTTCACAGTGAGAGGAGGGGACATGGGACTCCACAGCAACCTTCCTGGGGTCGCCACATGAAGAGGCAGGACCACCATGGCTCTGTGCCAAGCCCATCAGATGCTCTGTGTAGAGCATCCTTTCTGCGCTGAGCCAATGATCTTGAAGATCAACCGCTGGCTGCCACCCAGGGGCCTGGCTCTCCAAACAGAAGCCAGAAAAGGGATCAAAGCCCAGGGGCTGCTGCTCACCTCCCCCACCAAGCCTGTGCTGTCGCAGACTTTGTCTTCCCTGTAAGATGGAAAAGGAAGAAGACATCCCCCGCCTCAGCCCCATGAAATCCCGAGGCTCCCTGAGAGTAGCACACTTGAAAGAGACCGAGGTTATCTGCAAAATTCCAATTAAATCCACAGGCTTTGATAATTTGATAAGCCACTCTGCAGTCGCCCTGGAGTCAAAATATGCTGTTACCAGATCCGTGTTTACATTTCAGGATAGAGCGGGGGCTGCACAGTGGCCCGGGAAGGTGCAAGCGTCTCTGGGAGGGAGGCAGGCGGGCACTTGGCTGATATATGGTCAGCCTGTCTACCCAGGGTCATGGACAGGCCGGGCTCCTGCACAGCAAGCACTCTTAGGGAGCACCGGTCTCTCTGAGCAGGTCCCAGAGGCAGAACGCAGACAGGACTGGGCCAGGGAAGGAGCGGCCTTTCCAACTGTCTGCCCTCAGCTCACCCCACTTCTCGAGCTTCAGGTCTGGGGGGGGATTCCTGTTCTTCGGCCCATCTCTTGCCAGACAGATGAGGGACTGGCCCCGATGGCAGATACCACCTCAAGAAAGAGGCGGCTAACCCCTATTGCCAGGATGCCCTGGAGGCTACAGATTTCCAACGTATCCCTGCAAAGCCAAGCTATGCTCTGTGGGGTGCAGCGTGCACCGAGCCACAGTCCATTCTGTCCCCCAGGCTTCTTAGACAACAGTATTGAGCATCTACCTGTGTCAGTAGCACTGGCTGCGTTATCTCAGTGAACCCTTTTACCCAGCCAAAGCATCATCTCACATTAGGGATGGGAGGACGGGTGCAGAGACACTGCACAAATGGTCAAAGATCTCAGAGCCTTCAGTGGCAGGATCTGAACCCAGAGCCTGGCCCAAAAAAGCCACGCCCCACTCTCCTGGTAACACACAACTCAGGGGCTGTGGTGTGGTTTCCACCTTTCCTTGAGGGCCTTCTATAGATGAGCAAAAGGCCATCCTTCTGCCATATTAGGTTCACAGTGAAACAGGGCCCATTTATTTCGCTGACTGGCAAACACGAGGGGCAGATGCAGGGGTCTGAGGCCAGGTGGGCTGCTTTTGTGGCCCTTTCAGCCATCAACACTCCCTTCCCACCCTCTGCCTCTTTCTCATCTACCCTTTACTTTAGGATTTCAGAGGAACAGGTAAGGAGTGAGGTGATCAATGAGTATCTCCTTAGTCTTGTCCCCAACCCTCTCTCCTACCCAATACCCTTCCCTGGCTCCTTTCTTTGCCTTCTCTGGCCCACCAATTTCTGAGTGGAAAGGATTTCTCTCTCCTTTGAGAGCCTCTGGTGGGGACTGTAGAGGAGGAAACTGCCCTGAGGAGAGAGGTGGCCATCAGGTTGGACTTTAGTCAGATACGTGGGAGCCCAGCATGATGAGGTGCGCCATCTTGACTGCCAGGCCCAGGGAATCATGACTCTAGTGTATTCYGCCATTTCTCTCCAAATGAGGAGACGTCTGGTTCCCAGGCCACTGGGCACTTCCAAGTCTCATGCCTGTGACGTACCCAACCAACGTGTGACTTTGGTAAAACCAGCTGACCTCACTGGGCCACAGTATTCAACTGTGTCAACAGGGCTACTGATGTCGGTCATAAAATGCTACAGCTAAAAGCAATCTTGGAAATTCTTCATTATTTTTTATGAACCGTACACAATCTGTGGCAGCACCCAGACTGCTGAGCTCTTCAGCAGGTGGGTTTTCCTCCTGGGCAGAATGTGCGGCCGGTGCCTGCGTGTCAGCTGGGAAAATTGTAACCTTAACAGTTACGAGCAATGACGTACGGCTAACCCTGACCGGCACCTGAGCAGCAGCAGGATCGTCACGTTTTCTGCTATTTTGTCTGCTCCTTATAACAAGTCTGTGAGCTACAAAAGAGTTTTAGGAAACACCTACTCCACAAATGTAGACACACCCTCACTTTCCAGCACAAGGGCAAAGAGAAATTAGGAACAATCTTGGGCAAAAAGGAGCCTGAGCAATAAACCGTCCCTTGTTCCTTTGACATGTCATTCCTTAGCCAGGTTGGCATTGCTAGCTCCCCCTCAATTGTGTTCCCACACCCTCAGCCTCCCTGGCTTTGGCTCAAACTCCCAAGCGCATAGGAAAGGCCTGAGCTTCCACTCACTCTTTTGGGGGGTTGACATCCTCAGGTCGGGCCTCGAAGAAACGAAAGACTTCATCACACTGTGAAATGTGGGGAGGGAGCCGGACCAGTGCCTGTGGAAAGACAGAAAGCAATGGCACCATGAGCTTGGGACAGGAAAACCAGAGTGCCGGCGTGAGCCAACAGTGATAGGAAGGCACAGTCACCCGGCCAGTCACCAGCCTCCCAGTCAATCAATGACTTAACTAGCTGACTACTGAAGCTATTATTTATCCATCCATCCATCCATCCATCCATCCATCCATCCATCCATCCATCCATCTCAACTAAAAATCCAACAAACCAGCCAACTAATTAATCAACTAAACAAACACCCCAATACTCCACGAACCAACTGGACAATAAAAAAGATAATCAGTTAACCAATCAACTATCCAGCCAATAATTCAATCGACCATCCAACCAGCTGAGCAATTAAGCAGCCAACCAAGCAAAACACATTGACGTTGAACCCTAGGTCTCAGGGCCCTCAGGGACTGGTCCTTCTTCATGAACCCTGGAGGAATTTTCTCCTGCTCATAGGATAAACCTGAGCTCCTGAATCCAGCAATGTGAGGCCTCGTCTTACCAGGCTGACCTCCCATTAGCCCCTCTCCAGCTGCACTAGATAGCCATGTTCTCTGAATACTGTTGGTGCAATTAATTATTTATTGGCTGCTACTGAAGACAACAGGAAGCTATGATGGAGTTTGACAGGACCTAAGATGATGGGGCCTTTCAGGAAGGACTCTGTAGCTGAATTCTAAAGCCTGGGAAAAATTGAACTGCTCAAGGTGGGCAGAGTTCAAGTGTGGGGGCTCCAGGAGCTGGAGGAAGGTTGATGTGGCCTGGGCACACAGAGCGAAGGAGAGAGGGTGTGGGGCGCCTGACCTAGCAGGGCTCCCTGGCCACACTGAGCATGCCTGGGGAACACTGCCCCGCGATGGGGTGAAAGGCTTCCAGCACAGTGGGCCTGGCCTTGGCTGGAGGGATTTGGAGAAGTAGAGAGGAGAGGAGTGGGTACCCCATGGGGAGTGACAGTGAAGGCAAGGGTGTGGCCAGTGTGGGCCAGTCATCCAGGAGGACTGAGAGGATGAGCCTGCTGTGGTGAGGGGCGGGGCTGTGGTCTCAGGTGGTACTGTCCTCCCGCAGGTGCGCCACACCTGCAGCAGCCCCGCCAACCCAAAAGCAGGGTGTGGGGGGGAGGCCAGGCGTAGCCTTGTTTCCTGGGTCCCTTCCTCCATTCAGTGTGGGGAGAAATACTGGGGCAAGGAAGGGTCCCTTGGGCCAAAGGGACAGAAGAGATCACTGCCAAAGCAGCCCTGAGGGGTGTGTTCAAGGGAACCCAGGGCTGGAGACAGTAAAAGAAAGAGAAAAACCTGGAACTGGAATCCAGGAACATAGGAGTGTGATAAGGAGTCTCCAGGTCCATATGGAAGGACTCCGTCACAGGCCTCTGCCTCCCGGGACCCCACACCTCCCTGGAGGGCCTTCAGATGTAATGTCCTTCTCTGGTGGCTCCTGTGCTAAGCACGGTGGGCCTCTCTATGTGGCCACCTCATGATGGCTCCCTGGGAGCAAGATTCCCATCCCTGTGTTATAGACAAGGAAACAGAGGCTCAGAGGGCCACGAGGCCTGTCCGCAGGCTCTCAGGGAGAGTGGAAAGAGCACACAGGGTTAAACTCCACGCAGCGGGGATTTTAGTCTGTTCTGTTGATTTTCACCAGGCCCTAGCAGGGTGTCTGCAGCCCAGCAAGCACTCAGTGGACATTGTCTAATGAATGAGTGAATGAACGATGGATGAATGATCAGGGCTTTGGTGTGGGAAGCCCAATAGCAGTGGGACAGGATGAGGAGGCAGAAATAAATAAATAAATAAATAAAACACGTGTGGCCTTGGGTGGCACGGGCAGAACCCAGGGGAGGGGAAGCCGTGGCTTGACTCTTGGCAGAGCTGCTCTTCTCCAGTCTGTCACCTAAAGCCACCCAGTCTATCAGGAGGCCCTTCTCAGGGCCAAACTCCCAGCCAGGCAAGACGGGGCAGGACGGGGCAAGGCCACTCTGCRACTCCCTAGATTTTCCTTCTAGAGCCCTGGCTTTCCAAGGGTCTCCAGATCCCATCATGCCAAGGAACTCCCATGTGCCACGTTCCACTCATCCGACCGCAGTGAGGGCTTTTGGTGTATGTGGGACACGGGGCTGTCCCTGCTATTATAGGGAGGGGAGGGCTAGTCCTGCTCTCCAGATAGCATGGCTAAAGATGTGTCACCACATCTTGTCCTGGAGATGGATGTGGATGTGGAGATGTCAGGATGGGAACACCGAAGCTGTCGGGAGAGTGAAGTTATAAATGAGTTAAGTGTCAGAGTCAAGTCCCTTGCTCGGAATGTAGGATGCGTGGACCTTGTCCCCAAAGGGAGCATTTAATGCCCAGGCTATTTCCTGTTTTCTCCACCAGGAAGGGTAGAAAGAAAAGGAACAGAAAACTTGAGGGAGACAGACAGACAGACATAGAGAGGGAGGGACAAAGAGAACGTGTCAGAGAAGGACGTCAGGCACATGAGGCGTAAGGGCTCCGGACAGAGGGCAGGAGGCCCCAGGGGGGACCTAAGGGCTGGGACTGGGGAGCAGTGGGGAACCCATTGCCGGCAAACTGGGCTGTGTACAGGGCAGGACCACAGCTCCCAAAGGCAGAGGGAGAGACGCAGGGCAGGGAAGGGCAGGCTTCGGCTGGCCCAGGGTGCCAGCCAGCCCAGTGCTGCCACCCAGCCTCACAGCCCGGCGTGGTCATGAACAGAGGAGCTCTTCATGCCTGCAGAGAGCAGCGTTCGGGGGCAGAGGACGAGCGTGTGGGCTGTGAGGGCCTCAGACAAAGGAGCCTTTGGGTGGACCGACCGTGGCATCTTTCTTTAAGAGGGAGCCCTGCACGGAGCACTTAAGGGCCTGTCCTGATCTCAGGCTGACAAGAGGCCCTTGGGCCACAGCAGCTTCCTTCAGAGCTGCCGTCAAAGCCAGTTCTGGCCAAGACCATTTGGCAGGAGAGACTGGTGCTGAGCAGTCTATCAGGGGCTGTGCCAGCACCCACAGCCGAGGCCGGGAAACCGCAAACTCAGACATCCTGAGAAACGCACGGTGACGGGGCTGGCTACATGGGTATTTTCGGGAGTACCACCCCTGGTGTAGGGTAAGGTTCTGCCCGAGACATTCATGAGGTATACTGTGTGGGGGTTTTGCTGGCAGACCAGGTTTTGGGGCTGTGTGGTGCCAGATGTATTACTTGCCTTCTCGGAGCTCAGCATAATGGATTCAACAAGGCACCTAGCTGTTAAGAGGTTAAGTGAGATGAGGAATAGGAAGAGCTCAGCACCATGCCTGGCACTAAGTAAACACTCAGTAAATGTTAGTTGTTATGACATTATTGTCACCACCATTCGTTGGGTGAAAAGAGTGTTGTGCATGGGAATGGGAGTCAGAGACCTAATTCTTGTTCCAATTCTCCAGCTATGGATTTGCTATGAGGCCCTGGGCAGCTCGCCTCACCTCTCGGGTTGTCATTTCTTGCAGGTTAAATTCGGTAGCTCTGGAATTCCAAAGTACATCTCATGGAACAATTTGCTTGATGGGTATAATGAGTTCCATGGGCATATGTGAAATGTGGGGGGCCTTGAAGGTCGACCCCGCCCCTGTACCCACTGCCATCCTGGCCTTGGAGATCACCATGTTCAGAAACAAGGCAAAGTGTCTGGGAAGTCCTGCAGGAACCTCTTTAGGCCAGTGTTTAGTAACAATGAGGACGTCCTGGGGACTGACTAATTCAATCATCACGTCAAAGCTAAGAGTTTTTATTTCCTTTTCTTTCTTTCTTTCTTTCTTTCTTTCTTTTTTTTTTTAATAGTCTGGGGGATAATTTCAAATTTATAGAAGAAACTCAGGCCCAAAGAGTTTAGTTCCTCAAGGCTATACTCTAAGCATCAAAATTTTGCTTCAGGTGTCTGAATCCAGGCCCCCTGTTCTACTCATACRCTGCTCACACCTGCTCTCTTTCCCTCTCTCTCCTCCTCTCATTCTCTCTCCCTCTGGTACAGGAAATTGAACCCAGAGGGGTTTAACCCCTGAGCCACATCCCCAGCCTTTTTTATTTTGAGACAGGATCTCTCTAAGTGCTTAGGGCCTCACTTAGTTGCTGAGGCTGGCTTTGAACTCACAATCCTCCTACGTCAGCCTCCCAAGCCTCTGGGATTCCAGGCATGCACCACAGTGCCCAGCTGACACATGCTCTCTACTGCCTCAACATTACTCACAGGGATTTGACTGTGGAGCTGGAACTGCTCCTGGTGACACCTCATGGAACACAGCTGGGACCAACCCAGATCAGACACATCCTGAAGGTCCTCCTAGCGTTAACAGGCTGTGGCACTAAGGCTATGCTCAGCCCCATTATCAGTGAGTTCAACTGCATGATCTGTCAATCAATCTGATTGAACCTTTCTAACAGGGCTCTGACTCAGGTGAGGTCAGAGGGTCCCAAAGGCCCTGGGTTGCAGAAGGGCCAGAATGAACCTGACCTCACACCCTCAGCTCCTGGGTAGGGAGCAGGGCCCTGTGGGGCTTGAAAGCACATGTGTCCCTGCAGGATGCTGGCTAAGCTAACCCCAGTCCTTTCCAGTCCTGCCATTCTGAGATCTGGGCCGGGGAGGTGGCTAATACCAGGTCAGGAGAAACGGGGAAGGGATGTGGGTGGCGGGTGCCTAGTTTGGGCAGACTGATAAAGAGGCACAAGAGAGCCATCCAGGTTTGCTGTCAGCTACTTCTGCTGCCAGAGCCCCCCTTTCCAAACCTGAACTGCCCTAAAGTCTCCGGTTCCTGCCCCTCAAAACCATTTTCTTAGCAGCAAGTATCATCAGGCCCATCATGGTGCAGGTTTGGAGGGTGGGGAGCAGGGGCTGCGTGATGTGTCTCTGAGACCTCTGCGCAGATACATGAAGCAAAAGTCTAGTCTTTAGAAATGCAAGCGGCATGGGAAAGGGCCTAGCTCACGGCTCAGTCCTTGGCTCCCTTGAAGCTCAGCTCTCTAGGTAATGTCTGTCCCAGGGCAAAACAACCATGGGTGTCCTGCTCTTTACACAAGATCAGGCATTACCCTCTTTCTAGAAGTGCCAGTTGCCGATCAACAGAAATCTTACAGGTAAAAGGCAGACTGCACTCCGGGCCTTGGGGCTGCCTCTGACCTGCCCAGGCTGTTCTTCCCAGATCACTACCTGGAAAGCTGGGGTCTCATGGAACTTCTGTAAGCCACAGTATTTCAAATGCAAGAGTCTCTTTCGAGGACCTAGCAGCCCTTCCTTTTCAAATGTCAATCATATCTATTTCTTGGTGGCAGTTTAAGCTGTTTCTCAAGGGATCCCAGGACACTGGGGCCTGGAAGAGGTGTCATCCTCTGAGGAATTTTCTCTCCTGGGACCTTTTCATCTTGTCAGCAGATGCTGTCACTGGGGGCCACACTTCCTGCTTGCTAGTGAAGACAGGAGGATAACAGATGTGCCCCCCCACCCCAGGAGCTTCTTATTTGGAAAGAGGTCAAGGGGAAGTTACCGTCCTGCAGAGGACAGATGTGCAGAGCAGAGGCATGCAGAGTGCTCAGCTTCCCTGGGAGACACGAGGCATCTCTGAGGGGCCATTATGGAAGCTGCATGTGTCCCTAGGAAGCAAATTAGCTCAGGCCAAGGGGCAGAGCCCTGGCTAGCTGGAAACAGCCTGCTCAGGTCTGGCTGACTGGACTGCAGCGTGTGGGGGAGAGGCAGGAGTTGGGGCTGGAGCAGTTCTTGGAGGCTGCACCCAGAGGGCCTGGCTGAGACACTTAGCCATTCTCGGTGGCAGTGGGACTCCTCCAAGGGCCTCTAAGGAGAACAGGAACTGGATTAGCTTTCTCCTAGGCTAAAAACACCTTTCCTGGGTCTGTCGGGAGATGGAGAAAATCTACTGATCAAGGTCCCCCAAGGACAAGACCACTCAGGAGGTATGAATGGTCACTTCACRGAAGAGGTGTCATCCTCAGGAATTTTCTCTCTTTATCAGTCTGCCCAACTTAGAAATCCTCAGCCTACCATGCCTCAGTCTCTCCCACCAGCAGCACTCCTGGCCCAGGTCCTCCCTCAGAACAAAGACCACAAGATCAAGATTACTCTCCCCAAGGGAACAGCCAATGATGGGCCAGGAATAATACTTGGGATTAGGATTCACCGGTATATAACAATCTCAGTTTCCAATCTGGGAAGTGGGGATAAAGTGAGTCTGGGAGACGCAGGGGAGGGTCAGGGGATCTGTGGCCTTCAGTGCTGACCTCTTGGTGGGTTCGTACTTTCTGTCCCCCATTCCTTCATCCCTGAAATCAAGTGTGTTGTGGACAGAAGAATCAGAGAAATAAGCCCAGCTACTGGGGCAGCAAAAAAGTCATAGTCACACATACCCGAAAATTCAGATTTGCATAAATGGCACCAATATGTCAAAGGTGAGTTGACCATTCTCGAACACTCTCCCTCACACACATACTTTCCACTGGGATACTCATTTTATTCCATGGAAAAACACTACAAACATGTATGTCCCCGGAAGGAACAGTGTAAATGGAGTCACAGTCAAAATTGGTAGTCTGAGCTTCTATATAGCTCATGCTTGTTTAGTTAAATGAAAGTCTTCCCCTTGTTGTTATCCCCAGAACCATTAAATAGTAACCGCACAACCATGTTGCCCATTAAATTAATTTACAGAGTTAAAGAAATGCCTTTGGAACCCCTCTTGTTAGACATCTGGCCCTTAAGTGCCACATAAAACAATCATCAGGCTGGAGCTTGGTAAATTTTCCATGATGCTCATCCAATCTGCTCCATATACGTTCAAAATCGACACTGAGATGTGGGTTTATGAAACCACCCTTAGAGGAGGGACTAGCTGGCTGATGAGGGCAGAGAGCCCAAAGTCTGGGGAGTTTCTCTGTGTGGTCAGACTTTTCACATCTGCATGCTCCTTATGTAGAGCAGGGCTCATAATTTTGGGTGCATTTGAATTCCCACCAAATCCCAGACTCTGAGCCCACGCTGTCTCACAGGCCCAAGGAAGAAGATGCTTGCTAGCCACRCAGAGCTGGATATGCAGGGAGCTGGAAATAAGGACTCTAGAGACTCCAGGCAGCGTGCATCTAAGGACAAAGGAAGGGCTGGCATAGAATACGCTGCACGTGGCACTGGCCATGAAGTTGGCTGTGGTGGGCAGTAAAACTCAGTGGTCATAGATTGGACCATCTGGGGGCAGAGCTGTGAAATATGCAACACTGGGTGGCAGTGGCCATGGACGGCTGCTGGCTTCCCCCCACTGACTGTTCCTGGGTCAGGGGTTTCTCAGACAATCAGACCACAGATCCCAGCTTCTCAGTTCAGCAGAATTAAAGGTCAGTCTGCCTTGTCCCCTCTCCACTGCATTCAAGAGGGAATTCCTGCCTGTGAGAGGCCRTCTGCCTGGCAAACCCCTGACACTGTTCATGATCTGGCTCAGAGCAGTTCTCAACTGTGCTAGTYGGGTGGGGAGGACCCCCTCTTGCAGACCCACTCGGTTGACTCCCCCAGCCACCRGCAGCAGACACCCTCTGAATCAGGAGTCCCATTCAAAGCCTGATCCTAAGAGATAAGATGCTATCAGTTTCCTCCTCTGGCTGATCCAGGAGACACATTTCCACAGAGCCCAACTACAGAGGCCTCTGGCTCCCCAGCTCAGAGAGGCTGAGACTGATTTGAGCCATAAATCCCAGCTGGAAGAGGCTTCCTCCCGCCCTTTGCCCCCTCCTCCATTAGCTCTGCCCATCTATTTAACTTCCCGGGAAAGGAATAAAGAGAAATGAAAGCTCAGGCTGAGGCATCAATTAACCAGAAACAGTGCATGCTCTTTAAAGAAAAAAAATGAATATTGATCTGAAGAAGAGGGAATCTAGCTCAGGGGAATTCACCCTCTGGGCATCCTTTTAGGACAAGGCAGAACATGTGATCCAAGTTTAATCTGCACAAAATTCAAATTCTGGTTTAATGAAATTGTTTGGGAGCACTTGTCTTTCTAGAGGCTTGGGAACGACAGTTAATAAATTTAGCAACTTGGTTCTTATTTAAACATTTATTGCCAGGCATAATGATTCAGAATTATAAAATGTCAGAGTAGAAGGGGACCTTACAGGTAACAGTTCTGTGTAAGGACAGGGCATTTCAGGAGTCCAAACGGTGTGCTGTGCCTCCTCCCCCTCAACCTTGTGAGACAGGATCTCTATCCTCATTTTTCAGATGAGGAAATTGGGGCTAAAAGAGATAAAGCAACTGTACCAGGACACACAGCTCCTGAGTGGGGCCCTGGGATCCAACTGCAGCTCTTCTCATGTTAATGACCACATTTGGAACAAAACATTATGCCACACTTGCTTCCCTAATATTTTTAAGTCAAATTCCACAAGACAAAATTGTTTCTGTTAAAGCCAGTGGTATACAGAAGTAACATTATTTAATGCTGGCTTTTTATTGGTTTGTTTTTATTTGCTTTTGTTTTCTTTATTATTATTATTTTTTCACTGCTGGGGCTCAAATCCAAGGTCTTACATATGCTGGTCAAGTGTTCTACCACTGAACTAAACCCCAGCCCTGTATTTACTTTTTTTTTTTTTTTTTTTCCTTTTGCAGTGCTAGGGATTGAACCCAGGGATACTGAGCTATGTCCTCAGCCCTTTTTATTTGAGTCAGGTTCTCACTAAATTGCTCAGGCTGGCCTTGAACTTGTGATCTTCCTGCTTTAGCCTCCTCCCCAATTGCAAGGATTACAGGTGTGTTCCACCATGCCCAGCCCTTTATATGCTTTTAAAAAAGTTTTTTTAAAAAATTTGCAAACAAAATGCCTTGTAACAACAAAATCATCTACTAAAAGCTTCCTCTGAGCTAAATAGTAGGCCTGATGATTGCCAGCTCATTCCATCTTCATGGTCACCCTCTCTGCAAGAGGGACAATTCTCCTTCCTACTGACATGGAAACTGAGGCTCAAGAAGTTAAGTAAAYTGCCCAAGTTCATAAAGCTAGCCAGATGTTTGAACCCAGGCAGTTTGGCCATCCAGAGGTCATGTGCCAAGGACATGAAGTAGCCTCCCATCCTCACTGCAGGGGTCCTAGGCTCTAATCAAAGCAGAAGGACAAATGGGCTCTGGCTCATGACATTGCTGTCACTTTCCTGTCTACTCTTTGGTATTGGTTGCTCTAGTTATGCACAAGTGTGTGTATGCAAGCTGGCTGCTGCCAGTTGTGTGAGTGTGTGAGACAGAGAAAGAGAGAGAGAGAGAGAGAGAGAGAGAGAGAGAGAGAGCGCATTTGCATCTATAAAGATGTGTATATGAACACTGGCATCTATAAAGCTTATGTGAATAAACAAATGTGTATTCCAGATGCCACCAAACTCAGAGCTGACTCCAACAACATCCCAAAAGGAATTCAAAGAAACAATTGTCCATGTCCAGCAAAATGCCACACGCAAATCCCTCCAGCAGGAGGCCTCTCATGTAGGTCCCAAGCCAGTGGAAGTGACTTAAAAGAGCACTTTGTAAACATGGCTGTGTTCTGAAAGGATAGTAACCCCTCCTGCTGGGCCACCCACTTCCATCCTACTGGCCAAGCAAAGCCAGGCCTCAGAAGTGTTTGTACAGAGAGCCTCCTTCACAGACAGACAGACAGCCCCTCAGGCAGAGGGTCCACCCCCACTCCCAGACACACCCTTACCCGGCAGTATTCGTCGATGGGCTTCAGCCTCTTCACAGCTACATCCCGGATGTGGCTTCTCCGGAAGAGGATCTTGCCTGGAAGAGAGACGCTCGTGAGCCAGACATTCTGGCTAARGCCATCATAGGATCTTTTCATTTCCCTCCCCCTTGTCGAGGAAACAAGAGGAGTGGTCACCTCTCCTGGGGGGCAGGAGGCGATCAAGGCTGAGAGCCCAGGGCCTCTCCCTGGAGGCTGCCATCTTGGGCTTCAACAAACCACTTGGTCAAGTCACCTTGACTGGGTCTAATGGCAGGATCAATGCCTGACATGGGTGTGGCTTCTAAATGACCTCACAAATAAATATAAAGTATGGCCCAACCCACACGCTATGTTTTGTTTTCAGACCCATCCCTCCTTGAGAAATCGACATACATTTCTGCCAACTGGGCAGGAATTTCTATTCTTAGTGTAGGTGGGTGGCTATTTCCAGGGCGGGCACAAGCCAAMGCCAAGGATCATGGCTGCCCCAGTGTGACTGTTGCCTGGGCTTTCTGTACACACAGCCTCCAGCCATTCRGGCTGCTGCCAGCTGTGTTGGTACATCTTTCTACAGGTATGGACAAGGCTGACAGGAAGTGCCACCCGTCAGACCTTTCCAGCAGGTCCTTCTGCCCTGGCCACATTCAATCATGATAAATACATTGGTGCACAATCCTTTTCTAGACTGTTAAATTCAGAACCTTCACTCTGACAGTCAAGGTCTTATACAACTGACACTTCTGTGCCCAGCGGCCCAGTGGGCTAGGGCCAACGTCCCTTTTCAGAAAAGCTTCCTTGATGGTCGAGCTTTCTCTTTCCAGAACATCCACAATTCGCCCATTCCTGGAGCACTGGCCATACTGTACTGTATTTTACAGCACTGGTAACCCATGGGAGGTCCAGCAAGCCCAGCACGTGGTGGAAGTGCTAACCTGGAGCTACAACATGTGTCTGTTGTCCCAATCTGGGCAAGGCCGCTTCCATTCTTAGCCCTTGGGATGCCAATGGAGCTAACCACATGCCAATGGCAAACGGTGCATGTGACTCAGCTTAGTCAACCAGTGATTGGCTCAGGAATGGGCACCCCTGATATGGGCCAATGAGGGTAAGCCCTGAGACTTCCTTCTTCCACAGTTGCTAAGCCCCTGAATGAAAGGCTAGTGCCTCTAGTGGCCGAGTTTATTATTTCCTGAGAAGAAAACAAAATGAGAGAAAGGAATTGTGCCTGTCACAGGTAGGTGCTCAATAATTGCTTCTTGAATGATTGAAAAATCAAAGGCAAGAAATGACCAGGGCCAGATTCCTTTGATATCATTTCAGCAGCTGGATATAGCTGTTCCTGGACCTGGATCATCCTGCTACTTGTCACTTGTGTAAAGAAAAAAAAAAAAAAAAAAACAACTTTTTTATTTAATCTAGTTGGAGATAAAGTTTCATCACTTGCATTTGAAGGGCTCCTAATTAAGATAATTTCCACTGCATGTGAGCAAATATTCCACTGCAAGTTCCACTCAAGCTTCTTCTGCCAAGGACCAAGTGAAGTACTAAGAAAGGCAATGACCTTAGTTCAGGCTGTTCGCATGGAAGCAGCCCTAGAAATAAGAATTTGAATCCCAGTGAATTATGTGGGAGGCCATCCGCGGAGGCATCCTTAGGGGAGAGGGAGAATAAGGCAGAAGGTAGAGAGATCAAGAGTTATCTCCAAGGGCTGSAGCTCCGTTCTGTTGGGCAACTCCAGGGGACACACCTCAGGGGCATCCCTGCAGAGGCTGGGGAGTCTGTGGAGGCTAGGGAGGCTGGGGAGGCTGGGGTAACCAGCCACCAACTTCCTGCTTGTCACTGAGGGCTTCTTTTGAGGACATTAATTCTAGCACCTCTGGCTAAGTGTGCTCCCAYGGGTGCTGGCACTTCCTATAAGGAGTCTGTGGTAGGCAGAAGGGAACAGATAGGACATGGGGACATGAAGCAATTGCTGCAACCATCCCTGATTCCCCTGTCACCACAGTGACATGGCTCCTTGACCACTGAGCAGCACAACCAACCTGCTAATCCTGCTGGGAAGTGGCAGTGGAGCAGCAGCCTAGAAGGGCTAGAGCGTGGGCTAYCAGCACAGGACCTGGCCACTAGGAGCCTGCCACGCCACCATGGGCCTGAGGTATGGTGAGCCAGGGCTGAGGCAAACCAGGGCACACTGACGGGTCACCCTGCAGCAGCCAGACTGGGCCTGGTGCAGAGGCCTACTCCATCCAGTATGCAGCCCAGAACCCCCAAGCATCTACCATCAGACAACCTCAACCTCCCACTTCCAAACAAGCAGTGGAAAACCCAAGTGGGGCAGACCAGAATGAAGACTGCAGTGCTAACCAACAGCTTTGATACTTTCYCAAACCCTGATTAGCATAAATTTGGACCAATAGCATTGACCCAAGTGCTATATAAACCTCTAGACTAGCACACGCAAGTGGCAACCTGCTATCAGAYCCCCTCTCACCTTGTGGGAGCTCTGTTTCTATTCACACTTGAATAAATCCTGCTCCTACATGCACTCATCCTGGCCAGACAAGAACCCAGAAAGAAGTTGGTGGTGAGCTGCTRGGGCCTGCTGCATCACTGGAAGGCCTACCCTGCCATAAAGAACTGTAACACATCACTCAATGGTAGTGGAAAATAAATGGGCTAACGGGCCTTCTCAGCTGTAGAGGCCTGTAGCTTATGCAGACCCCACCTGCCTGAAGAAGCAGAGAAACTCTGGTTTCCACAGTACTGGTAACAAGCCTTGCGTAGGTCAGACAGTGGAACCCATAAGCATGTCACAGCATGTGTGACTTGCTTCCTGCTTGAAGCCTTTGGTTTTCCATACAAAGCCTGGCCTCCAGCTCAGGCTCTGTCTGCCTCACATGTTCCACCTGGCAGGGGCCTTGGAATACAGCCGATGCTCAGTAAGTGCACACTGGCTCACTTCCTGCTTGGGCCTCTTCCCAARCTCTCCTTCCTCTGGGCTCTCTAGAGTCAGTGCACAGATTATCTGTGTAGATGGCACCATGTCACCAAGACAAAGCACTCTGCCACATGCTCCTTTGGAAAGGAGATAAAAGGTGATGTCTCAAGACACTGGTGATGGCTGCTTTTCATAGGGGAAGATGTCACAGATCTGGTATTCCTTGCCTCTTTGCCTCCTGCTCTTTTTCGGTTGCCTGTTGCTTTACTGCCCACGTGCCGCAGAGCCGGTGTGTGCAGCTGCGGGGACTCTGTGAACAGAAGCACGTGGCATGAGCGGACCTGCTCTCTGGACTGACAAAATGACAGGCAGCCAGGACTAGCTTTTCACCCGAGTCAGCTGTCCGTCAGGAGCTGGCCGTGGCCGAGACCCAGTTGACACCAGTCATCAAGGGGTATGAAGGAGCATCTGAGGACTGGAGGAAACCACAGGGGAGRAGGCCTCAGCCTCTGAAAATGGCGCTCCTGCTCTTTCTCATCCCACCCAAAGACGAAAAGGAAAGGAGGAAGATGGGGAGACACACTGGGACCCCCTCCCAGCCCCCACCCCAAAGCTGGTCGCACCCCTAGATGAGCTTGTATCCTGAAGAAGTAGATGCTGCTCTTTATCTTACAGCAGAGACAGATCCAAAAAACAGGGAAGGAACACTCAGGCCTCCAGAAGAGAGGGATGGGCAAGGTGGGCAGGAGGCAGGAGGCTCCCTTGACTCCTCGCCACGCTGGCCCTGGAGCACGGGACCCCCTTTGCCCCTGGCATCTACTCATGCAAGCAAGGCCACCATGCCACCTGCATGTCCAGTCCCCTCAACAAGCTCATGGTCTGCTGCTTGGGTGTGAAGTCGGAGGAGAATTTTTGCACAAGACAAATCCCCATGTGTGTTTCAGGTCCCCACTGGACTGCCCTCTTTGCGGCCGAAAYCCTGACAGGAGCAACAACACTTCCTTCTCTTGGGGCTTTGGCACAGTCAGCCAGTGGGGAACGAGGGAGGGAGGGAGGGAGGGGGAGGGATTCCACGGTCTTGACTTCTCTGCGAGGAATCCAAACCACACTCTGAAAGCCGAACGGGTGACCATATTAAAAGGGAGAGAGAAAAAGGGGGTGGAGGAAAATCCCCATTAAGGAAACCGAGACCACAGGGCAGTAAAGGCCTCTTGTAAATGTAATTCAGCCTCTTTATGGCGGCGCTCTGCTTCTGCCAGAGTCTTCAAAGCCCTGCGGATGCTGCCCCAGAAATCTGATAAGAATCATAAGGCAGATCACACGTGGCCTGAAACAGACCCGGCTCAGCCTTAAATAGACTTAACTCGCTCCTGAAAGTAGAGAAAGAAAGCTGGAGCCTGCAGTCTGCAGGCATGCCTGCCACTCAGGGCCAGGCGTGGATGGAACAGGCGGCCCTGGGCGAGGGGCCTGGGTCCAAGTCCTGCCTGTGCATGTTCCACCGATAAGCTGGCACCCAGGGGTGCAGCCTCCCGTGGCTGTGTGGCTGTCTGGTACTTTTACTAGGTCCATCTTGTACAGGAGGAGATGGCAGCTCAGAGAGGTGGCTGAATTGGGATTTCACCTTGGGGTTTTGAGCTTGGAGAATGAGGGTGAGAGTGTTGGCAATGAATCCAGAGGGTTCTATGGGCTCTTTCAAGCCATGATGTGAGGACTCTAGGTTTCACCCGTGTGTGAGGGAAGATGAGAGCAGTTAACCCACTGGGCCAAACACAGCCTCCAGGTACCAAGTGAAATCTATGGTCCTCCATGAGAATCTGGGGGTCAAGGCCCTGGAAGAGCAGAAGCACAGCACAGGAAGGCCCACTCCAGCCACGAAGAGTTCTGAAGCCACCTCCACGGACTAGGTGCATGTTCTACAAACAAGCTAGCACCCAGGTGTGCAGGGGCCATGGGGCACACTGGCTGCAGGGGTGATGAGAGAACCCCTTGTGGTCTGAAGAGGCTGATCTATTCCCGGCAGCCTCTCCTTGTCAAGATACACAGTGTCAGCCAGGCGTGGTGGTGCACACCTGTAGTCCCAGCTGCTCAGGAACTGAGGCAGGAGGATGGCTGGAGCCC